AGTGCTTTTGTAGCCAAAATTGTATGCTACTGGCATAAAAGCAGATACACAGACAAAAAAAATAGACTAGAACCCAGTATTGGAGCCACACATCTATAGTGAACTTATCTTTGACATAGGTGCCAAGAATATACAATGGTGAAAAGACAGTCTCTTCAGTAAATTGTGCTGGGGAAATAGGATATCCATAAGCAAAAGAATGAAACTAAACCCTATCTCTCAGCATACAAAATTTAAAATAAAATAAAATAAAGACTTAAATCTAAGACCTGAAACTCTGAAACTACTAAGAGAAAACATTGGGGAAATGCTTTAGGTTATTTGTCTAGACAAATAGTTCTTGAGTAATACCCCCAAAGCAAAAGCAACTAAAGCAAAATTGACAAATGGTATCACATAAAGCTAAAAAGCTTCTATGCCATAAAGGAACAATCAACAAAGAAAAGAGATGCCCACAGAATGGAAGAAGATACTTGCAAACTACTCATCTGAGTAGGGACTAGTAACTAGAACATACATGGCCAGTCTCTGGGTTACAGCCGCTCTCATCACTGTGCGGAGACTCAAGCAGAACAATTTCCCACAATGCCCCCCCTCCAGTGGAAAAGGATTGCTCAGTCCCTTGCCCGAGCTTCCAACAGTGGCCTGGGAAACAACCTATTACTTCACACAAAGAACCCCCAGCACTGTCCCAGGAACCATGACCCTTCCAGGTATTGGTCAACATCCTGTGATCCACCTAGACATCTGCCAAGTTCTTGTGATCCATCCACTTGTTGACTAAGTTCATGCCTCTGTGGCATGTGCCTCTATGGAGTGGGACTTGTGCAACCTCCTGGGTGAGCGTCCAATAGTAGTCTGGGGACCAATACATCAATATTAATAAATATTCCTCAGCATTGGCTTGCACTGTAACAACCACAGAGATTGAAACAATGCAGGAGAAGATCTGTGTTATAGGCTCTCAGTGCATCTGCCCCTTTCCCAGCAGGTCAATCCTCTGGATCAGGACACAAAAGCATTACCTAGGGACCTCTCCTCCTTATCACAAAGTAGGAGAGTTCCCAGCAAACAGAATAGGCGCACTGCAAACTTATCAGCCCTGAGCTAAGAGGTGGTTTCAGATTAGAAGAAACCAGTAAAAAAATTCTGGCAACATGAAAAATTAAGCTAGTTCAGCAGAGGATTACAATAAAGCCACAGAAAAAGATCTCAACCAAAAGCAAATAGTTGAAATGTCAGAAATGGAATTCAGAATAGCAATGGCAAGCAAGATAAATGAAATTGAAGAGAAAGTTGAAAACCAACACAAAGAAGCTGAAACAATTTCAAGACATGAATGTAAAAAACAAAAACATTCATAGACAGACAACATAAGACAAGATGTAATTATAACTAAAAGAAATGAAGCAGTCATTTACAAAATACAGCAGAAGGCTTCAACAGGCTAGACCTAGCAGAAGAATCTCAGAGCTTAAAAAGAAGGCTTTCCAACAAACCCAGGAAGTAAAAAATTTAGACGAAAGAATAAACAATAAACAGTCACTCAGAGAAATGTGGGACTATAGATATGAGCTACTATATGAATTATATGTATCCCAGAGAGAGAAGAAGAAAAAGCAAAAATCACAGAAAACCTATTGGAGAGAATTGTTGAGGAGAACTTCCCTAGTGTTGCAAAAGATGCAGAAATACAGATACAAGATGGATATTAAACACTAACAAGATTCATAACAAATAGGACATTTCCAAGACACATAGTATCAGGCTGACCAAAGTCAAAATGAAGGAAGAAATTCTATGAGCTACAAGATAAATGCAACAACTAACCTACAAAGGAAATTCCCTCAGGCTAACAGCAGACTTCTCAGTAGAGACTTCACAAGCCAGATGGGATTGGAGCCCTGTTTTTAATGTTCTTAAACAGAGACATTGTCAGCCCAGAATATTGTATCCCAGAAAAGTAAGTTGTATAAAAGATGGAGAAACAGACTTTTCCAGATAGGCAAACACTAAGGAAATTTGTCATTTCTAGACCTGCCCTAAAGAAAATGTTCAAAAGTGCATTATACATGCAATAGCACAATAGATACTTACCAGTGTAAAAACACCCAAAAGTCATAGCTCATCCTCTTGTAAAACAACAGCACAAGAGAAAAACAAAACAATGGGGATCCAACATGATGAACAAGCAGCAGCCCACATATCAATCCTAACACTCAATGTAAATGGTCTGAATGACCCACTCAAAATACATACATGAACTAAAAGGAAAAAAAACACAAGCCCAAGAAATGTCTGTCTCCAAGAAACACTTCTAAACCTCATATGAAACTCAATGAAATCAACTCCAATGAAATCAAAATTAAGGGATAAAAATATTCTATGCAAATAGAAACCTCGATTGAGCAGGTATAGACATTCTCATATCAGATAAAATAGATTTTAAATCAACAATTAAAAAAGGGACAAAAATATCATCATTATACAGGGTCTCCATAAAGTTCATGTGCAATTTACTATGTTCCCTGACTTCAGATTATACTATAATGATATAATAATCAAAACAACATGATACAAGTAAAACAGAACAGACATTGACCAATAGAACAGAATAGAGAACCCACAAATAAAACTATCTACCTACAACCAGATAGTCTTCAACAAAGCACACAACAATATGCACTGGAGAATGGATACCTTTTCAATAAACAGTGCTGGGAAAATTAGATAGCCACATGCAGAAGAATGAAATAAAACCCCTATCTCTTGCCATACACAAAAATGACTTTGAGATGGATAAAATATTTAAATGTAAAGCATGAAACCATAAACATTCTAGAAGAAAGTGGAGGAAAACTCTTGTAGACATCATCCTAATCAAAGAATTTATGACTGAGACCCCAAGGATAAATACGGCAATGACAAAACTAATGAATGGGACTTAATTATATTAAAGCCTTCTGCACAGGAAAGGAAATAATCACAGAGTTAATATTCACAAACTGTACATCCAACAAAAAATACCCAGAATCTACAAAGAGCTCAGTTAAATCAGATTAAAAATCCTACAAACCCCATCAAAAAATAAGCAAAATACATGAACAGAAGTTTTTGAAAAGTATACCGGTTGTCAACAAACATATAAAAAAAAAAAAATGTTCAACATCACTAATCGTCAAGAACTACAAATGAAAACTACAATAAGTTACCACAGTGAACCTATCAGAATGGCCATTAATAAAAAGTCAAGAAGGAATAGGTGCTGGTGTGAAGGCAGAGAGAAAGAAATGCTCACACACTTCTGGTGGGACTACAAATTAGTACAACTTCTATGGAAAACAGCTTGGAGATTCCTCAAAGAAACAAATGTAGACCCCCCCATTCAGTTCAGTAATCCCACTTCTAGATACTTACCCAGAGGAAATAAAGTCATTTTATCAAAAAGACACCTGCACTCGAATGTTTATTGCAGCACAATTCTCAATTACAAAGATAGAATCAACCTAGATGCCCTTCAGTTCATGAGGGGTTGAAGAAAACGCAGTATATTCACCATAGAGTACCACTTAGTCATAAAAAGGACTGGAATAATGTTGTTTGCAGCAACCTGGGTGGAACTGGAGGCCATTATCCTGAGTGAAATATCTATGGAATTGTTCTCACTAATAAGTGGGTGATGAACAATGGATGCCTAAGGGCAGAAAACGATCTAAAGGGAATGTGGGATAAAAACTTACGTGTTGGGTACAGTGAACACTATTCTGGTGATGAGCACACCAAAAGACCTGATTTAAGCATTATTCAAGTTAGCCATGTAACACAAACACTTGCACCACCTTAACTAAGATTAAAAAATAATATCAATCCTCCGCACATTAAGTTTTATTTTTATAAAAGGATTCGACTAAGGAAATAGAGCTATGTTCTACATATGTAGCTTTTCGATTCCATTAGTGATAGAAATGATTAAAATTTGGCAAAAATGAAATAGTAAATAATTTTATAGTAAGATCTCTGACAATGCCCGAAATGTTAGGTATGTTTTCTTACTGATTAAAAGAGATTCATGTGAATCATATTCTGGGCCTGTCCACAGGAAATTTCACATTTTGTTATAAAAATCAACACGTATTCTTGACTATCTGAAGAGGAAACAATATCTATTTATAGGTAGGTCTGAAGAATTCCTTATGAAACAGGTTAGAATCTCTTGAAATTCTTTAAAAAGTATTTTTGAAGATGCGCAATTTTTCACAAAATAAGGCAAATAAGAAAAATTATAATTTAATATTAAAGTACTAAAAATACCACACGTTCATTTTTAAATAGTTAAACAGAGCAGATGCTTAATTTTAACACTTCCTTCCATGGTACTGATTAATGTCCCTGCCTAAGAAATTTGATAAGTAACACAACAAATCAGTCATCAAAATAAAACACACGACATAAACTGACAAACTAAATCTAAGTCTCAGAACAACCAAAATATGATGTTTCTTGATGTCAGCACTTTCAGGAACTTAACAATATTTATTAAGTCATCCAGCAACAATTCTTAACAGAATTAGGAGCTGAAAGGCATACACTTTTCATCTAACAAATTCTATTTAATCATTTTCCCTTTTTTATTTGCTCTTGGGTCTTCTGCTGCAATTTTCTCATGTCAAGTAAAAAATTATCTTCATCATTGCAATAAGAAAGAAGAGACAATTCAGTGGAGAGAAATTATTCAAGACATAAGGCTAAAATTACCGGTCTTAATTAGTTTTGTATTTCTATTGGGTAAAGGAATGGGTGTTTGAGAGCTGAGAATATATGTACAGTTCCTTGGGGAGCAATAATGCGTTTGGGGAGGGATGGGAGAAAACAAAATAAATGATTGATTTTCAGATTGAATTACTGCATAAATTGCAAGAAAATAAGGAAGAATAATAAGAACCACTTGCTTCCTAATGGTCATAAAGTTACCTTTAATCACCACTGTGTGTAAAACTCACTTGGAAAAAATGTGCAGGGATACTCTTAGACCTGGACACGCCGTGGAGATCTGTGGCTTCAAATCGCACAAACTGCAGATGATTTTTGGCCATTGCTTGTTTAATGTGTTTCATTCTAGAAGAGAGTTGAGGTGTGGTCAAAATTTGATTGATGTCCCTGGTACAATCTGTAAAATAAAGAGAGGTTCTAAGTCACTGGATCGGGATGGACTAAGAAACAGAAAGAGACTAAAGAGAGTGAATTAGTCACGATGATTACAGCAAAAACGTCCTATGTTGCTCGTGGCAATGGCTTAGACTTGAATTCTTACCTTTCTTACTCGGCTTTTAATATCTTTCCAAAACTATGTGTCTCAACAATGCAAGATCGTTTATCAGTTGGGAGGAGGTTAAAGTTAACATTATTTTTTTTTAAGATTTTTTTATTAAATCATAGCTGTGTACATTAATGCAATCACAGGGTATAGTGTGGTGTTTTCATATATATTTTGAAATACTCTCATCAAACTGATTAACGTAGCCTTCATGTCATTTTCTTAGTTATTGAGTTAAGACATTCATACTCTGCTTTTAGAAAGATTCACTTGTACCCTTGTAGGATAAACCATAGAGGTGACTCCTCCAATCACCCACCCCCCTGCCCTCCTCTCTCCCTCCCCCCAAATTAACATTATTTGTAATAGAATATAGCAATATCATATGTGAGTGCTGACAAAAATCCTTTTGTTTATTTAAATCAGAACATATTTGCATAACTGGACCTCACTGGCACAGCACAGATGTCTGTATGTATTTGACAAATATCAGAACAATTTTGGGTTTCTCAAAGTAACTGTTAATTCCTAAATTTAAAGTTTCTACATAATTGAAGGTAAAGTTGTTTGTTTTTTGTTTATTTTCTGTTATTTGATTTTTGTTTTGATTTTTTTGGTTTCGGGGTTTTTGTTTTTTGTAAAAAAACGAAAGGGCTTTATGTCTTTATAATGGCATCTGAATCTAAGAAGTCTACATCTCTCTGTCAAATTTAAAATTTGTTTAAGTAAGCAAACCAAGCATCTTTTTTTAAGAATGAGAGCATAGGAGATGAAAAATCTGGACTGCATACTCAATTTTAAAATTAGTAACATAAAAAAAATGTTCAAGACTTCTAAGATAGTGTGCAAATCTAAAACACTAGTGCTGGAAGAGACTTCAAAGATAAATCCTCCCATCTAACCAACTCACTAGCTTGAATCTTTGAGTGGCACAATAGGGTGCTCTAAGTCACACTATCAATTCATTGCCAAAATTGAAACTAGAGTTCAGAGCTCTTGTTTTTTTTTTTTTAGAGACAGAGTCTCATTTTGTAACCCTCCGTAGAGTGCTGTAGCGTCACAGCTCACAGCAACCTCCGACTCTTGGGCTTAGGTGATTCTCTAGCCTTAGCCTTCCAAGTAGCTGGGACTACAGGCACCTGCCACAATCCCAGCTATTCTTTGCTGCAGTTTGGCCAGGGCTGGGTTCAAACCTGCCATCCTTGGTATATGAGGCCAGCGCCCTACTCACTGAGCCACAGGCATTGCCCGAGAGTTCAGAGTTCTTAAGTCCTAGTGGAGAACAAATTGAACGAATATGTCTGTAACACATAGACGGGTCAGGCACGTAGTACACATTACAAATGTTAGTTACTGGCTGAACGTTTAGGAGAGGCAGCGGGTGTACTGATTCAGCACAAAACACTGAAGCTCATTGGCCCCCCTGCAAGTCCTGCCTTTGCCCGATAACCATCTTATCCCCTTTGTGCCTCTACTGTCTCATTGATAAAATACTACTTAGTTTATGAACTTGTTATGAGGATTAAACAATTTATTTAACAGGTACTGGCAGACAGTAAGCATCGCATAAGTGCTACTTAACCATGGAAAGTGAACACAACTACTCCAACCCTCGCAAATAGTACCATGACTGTGTCTGCATCCAGACACCCATCAGTCTATCACGCTGCTGACACTGAACAGCTAGAATTTTAAAGTGATACCTAAGTATCATTTTTCAAGTAGGGTTAGGCTTTAAAAATGAATATAAAGATTGACAGTTTAAAAATACAGATTTAGTAGATTTTAAGCGTGTGAACCGTGAGGAAAACAAATTACGGGTTCCACCAATGCAAATATATTAAAGATAATGTCCCGTCACTGATACATTTGGCTACTCTGATTCCCTGAGACCTTATTACTACTTTCCATTTAACACAAACAATTAAGCTGTAGCAATTACATTGTTTCGTGCGAAATTAACAGTTGCTGTATTCCCAATCTATTCTGAAATTTTCAGTGTTTAGGCCAAGATGAATGATGCTTTGTAAATAAAATAAAACGTATAAGTATTTTAAATATGGAAAATTTCAGATAATCAGTGTTCTAAACATCATAAGCAATTATATAAAAGCTGGTAAAGAATGTATCTCCTATAAAAGAGAAAAGGTAAGTTTTATTGGCTCACCAGCAATAACGTGATGGATAATCTTATTGTTTTTTTGCTGGATGTGTATCTCCTAAATTTTCTATAATAAATATGTATCATTTTAAAATAAGAATTTATATATTCATCCACTCTAGATAGTTTTGTTTTTTCTGTCATTGCATGCTGCACACACCAGATGTATATCTAGAAAGCAGCCCTGCCCTTGTAAAACTTTAGATGCCCGAGCAGGGGGACTATAGTAAACAAATATGCCATCAAATGCAAGGTAGCAAAACTTCATATGCTGAAAAAAATAAACCATAGTCACCTGCAGTGTTGATTGTATGAGACTTGGTCAAAACATGGACAGGTCTAACCCTTGGTTCACTGTTCAACTTAAAGTTGCCCTGAGGCTAGACGGTGAGTACTACATATGTATTAGTTTCCTAGCGCTGCCATTAGCAAATATCCCAGGTGGCTGGAACAGAAACTTATTTTCTCACAGTTCTGGAGGGTAGAAGTCCAAGATCAAGGACATCAGCGGGTTGTTTTTCCTGAGGCTGCCTTCCAGGTTTATAGATGGCCATCTTCTCCCAGTATTTTCACGTGGTCTTTCCTCTGTGCGTGTCGGAGTCTTTTTATGAACACATCAGTCATAGTGGATGAGGGTCACCTTACTGACCTCACTGAACCTTAATTATCTATCTCTTGAAAGACCTTCTGTGCAAATTCAGTCACATTGCGAGGCACTGGAGGTTAGGACTTTGTCATAAGAGTTTTGGAGAGATGAGAGTCAGCCCACAGCGTGTCATCCTGTTTCCATTCTCTGCAGCATCTTTATTGCCACCTGCCACGTTGCACGCTCTTATGTCTCCGGTCTGTCTTCTCCCACTCATAAATCAGCGCCATGAGAGCAGCAACTTAGTTTTACTTGGTGCTTTGTCCTCAGTACAGGCATACCATAGGCACCCGATAAATATTCCTTTCACAAGTGAGTGTGAGTGAACGAATGAATGAATGAATCCATCTTGTGTGATTTTTCTAATTAATAAGTAAAAATTGGTATTATATATTTCAATATGTATCCTAAATATCAATTTTTCATTTAAAAGTCTGGTTCTATGTGGTACTTAGATTAATGTAAGCATTTCACATTGTATATCGAAGCAGTACCCTGAACCCCACAAATGCATCAATGTACAAAGTTATGATTGAATAAAAAATAGAAAATAGAAAAACAAGGAGGCCAATAACAGAGAACACACATGATCTGCCTCGCCCACTCGACAATACCTTGTGTCCTTTCAAGGTAATGTAACTTTTAATCAAAGAGAACAGGGATGATTAATTCCCTGATTAATAACATGTACACGTTCACAGTAATAGAAATTCTAAATGGTTACCACAGAAAGCTTCTGTACAAACTATAGTATCCACAAACAAGCGTGATGCCACTGGCCCTGGGTTCCCTGCATGGAAAATTTGGGGGCCAGTAAAGGTATTTTTACAGCTAAAAAAAATAAATATAAATAAATAAATAAATAAAAGTCTGATTCTTTCACCAACTAGCAGAACCCTATCTAATTTCTAATTTTCATTTTCAAGGCATCAGCTAGTCTTACTGCACTATCTGAATTTCTCTTCTTCGAATCAATCATACTCGTTACTTACAATTAAACCTTTCGGTCAGCCTTCCCCAGCTGTACATGATGAATAGCGGGCAGATAATTGCCAGTGCAGGGGCTCATTTGTTTTTCTTACAGTGTGGTTCCTGGGAGGTGTTCTCCTTCCCTGTCCCCTCAGAAGACTAATAAATTAAACCAATGTGTTCTTACAGAGGAAGTTTTGCTGCTGTGAATGTTCAGCAGAAAAATAAGAAAATATTAAAAAATAAATAAACCCTCAAAGCTTTATGGTAACTAGAAAGCCTTGGAGAAACGTTACCCATGTTTAGTGATAATGAGGACATATTTCAGTTATAGAAATATGGTCACTTATAAGAGACAGATTGAGGAGGCATTGGGCTTTTAGAAATACCAGCTCAAATAAGGGGAAAGTGCATCGGAGAGACATTCCGTAACACCTTCAGCTTATTGCATGCCTGGAATGATCAGCTGTACTTATTTCGAAGGACCTGCATCTTTCATGCACCAGGAGAGCCACCTGCTAGTGCAAGTGTGACCCTGCCCTCTGACCCCTCATGTTAGCCTGGACAGTGTTGGAAAGCTCAGGAAGCAGAATACCCAGGAACAAAAAGGAATAAAAGCCAAACAAAACCTGGAAGGGAAAGAGGGCTGCTCTCTGCAGTTATCCCAAAGAAGAAAGTATCATGTCCAGATTTCTTACACTTATTTTGGAGGATAATTTTTACATTTACTTTTAACTTATGTATTAGTGGTTTGGTTGGGGTTGTAACCTTTTTGTTGCTTAGGACCTATAGAGAACCTAATTCACCCTGGGCCTAAGAGGGAACTTCTGAGCTAACCAAGTTGAGTCAATAAGGACACCCACGCTCTGATGTCACCATTGATGACGCAAAGCAAGTTCGTGATACAACGTTTTCCTCCAGAGTTTTGACTTAAGACTAAGAAATGGTAGATTCTGTCTCTCTTTTGCTGCTAAAACTGAAATATATAAAACAAAGGTCACAAACTGGAGGAGCCAATGTGGCCAGCAGAGGTTTTCTGATTAGTCTTCCTAACGTTTAGAAACTTCTTTGAATGAGTTGGCGACACTTAACTATTAGAAAATTTTATGTGAAAATTTCGAGTTCGTACTTCTCTTGAAACTAGATTTGGCAAAACCACATGGATATTTTTGCATAGCAGCCATTAGCTGGAGCTCTGGTAGCCTGGATGGGGTATGCATCCTCTAGTCATGGGGTGGCAAACTTTTTCTGTAAAGGACCAGCTAATAAATATTTTCCACTTTGCAGGCCATATTGTATTTGTTGAAACTTCTCAATATGCCATTTTAGCACAAAAGCAATTAAAAACAATACATAACATTTATTCACAAAAACTGGATAAGTTTTGACACCCACCCTCTTCCCTGGTTTTCATGATGACTCCCCTATTTTATTCCACCAGGCCACCATATGGCCTGCCTGACCCCTGTGAACAATTATATTGACAGCTCTCAATATTAAGAGGCTATCAATGCTTCTTCTTCACTTCATGGAGAAATTTATGAAGCCAAACCAGAGATGAATTCAGAGATGAGAGATGGTGTGGTGGGCAGAATGGCCTCCCTCCCCCCAAAAGATGTTCACCATCCCTTAATCCTTGGAACCTGGAAATATGTTAAATTTCATGGTCAAAACGAGCATGATGGGTCACGCCTGTACTGTAACCCTAGCACTCTGGGAGGCCAAGGCAGGAGGATTGCTTGAGCTCAGGAGTTCAAGACCAGGCTGAGCAAAAGTGAGGATCTCGTGCATTGCATGAGCTTACAGGTTCAAGACCAGCCTGAGCCAGATGAGACCCTGCCTCTAAAAAATAGCCGGCAGGGTGCCTATAGTCCCAGCTGTTGTGGCAGGTGCCTATAGTCCCAGCTACTCGGGAGGCTGAGACATGAGAATCACATGAGCCCAAGAGTTTGAGGTTGCTATGAGCTATGATGCCACAGCACTATACCAAGGGTGACAAAGTGAGACTCTTCTCAAAAAAAAAGAAAAAGAAAAAAAAGACTGAGACCTAGTCTATACTAAAAATGGAAAAAAATAGCCAGGTGTCAGGGTGCACACTTGTAGTCCCAGCTATTCGGGAGGGTGACGCAGCAGGAGTGCTTGAGCCCAGGAGTGTGAAGCTGCAGTGAGCTCCTATAACAACACTGCACTCTACCCAGAGCGACAGAGTGAGATTCTTGTCTCAAAACATTAAAATTTAAAAATTAAAAAAAAATAAACTGTAAGCAAGAGAGACTTTACAGATAAAATTAAGATTATGGATCTCAAAATAGAGATTATCTTGGATTATCCAGATGAGCCCTTAAAAGCCAAGAACTTTCTCTAGCTGAAGGCAGAAAAGGAATGTGGAAGAAAGGAAATTCAGAAAGATTCCAATAATGAGAAGGATTGGAAGTGCTGTTTCTAACTGTACAACAGAGGGGGCTTCTGGGAGCTACAGGTCACCCCAGTTGACAACCAGCAAGGAAACATTCCTACAGTAACAAGGAACTGGATTCTCCCTCCAGCATGAATGAACTTGAAAGTGTACTGTTCCGTGGAGTCTCTCAGTAAAAGCTCAGACAGCAACACCTGGATTTCAGCCTTGCAAAATCTAAAGCAGGGAAACTCACTGAGCCAACCTGGACCTTTAACATTCAGAACCATGGATTAATACATCTGCATTTTTTTTAAAGATGCTAATTTTTGGTAATTTGTTATGGTGGCAATAGAAATCTAATACAGAAGAGGTACTGACAGTGCTCCCTTCCAGTTCCTCCTTAGGCCCTGTATGTAAGCAAAGAATTTAACCTTGCCCAAAGAGAGGTCTGGCCTTTGCCCTTGGCTCCTGGAACTAATCTCTAAGCTGCTGGAATTTTCTGCTTTATGAAAGTGTCTTTGTTTACCTGAGGGCTCAGGCCATGCCATAAAGTCTAACGGTGTCATTTATGGTGGGGACTCTGAGTCATGCAATTGCAACTTGATCCCTCGAGGAAATAGAGACTGTGGTGAGCCACATAGCCAGTTAACCACGGAGCCCAAATAAAGACTCTGGATGCCATGACTCAGGTGGTCTACCCGGGCTCACACTACTCCGTGTATATGATCTCACACGTAGCCAAGAGAATAGCACAATAGCACAGTCCATGACTCCACCGAGAGAGAACAAATAAATATTCTGTGCTTAGAACTGCCTCGACTGCTGCATGGCTAATTTTAATCTGTATCCTTTCTTTTTATTTTTTTTATTTTTTTTCAGGTTTTTTTAATTAAATCATAGCTGTGTACATTAATGCAATCATGGGGTACAATGTACTGGTTTTATATACAATTTGAGCTGTTTTCATCAAACTGGTTAACATAGCCTTCTTAGTTATTATGTTAAGATATTTGTATTCTACACCTAGTACATTTCACACATACCCCTGTAAGATGCACCTTAGGTGTGGTCCCACCAATTACTCTCCCTCCACCCATCCTCCCGGCTCCCCTTCTGTATCCTTTCAGTGTAATAAAGCACAGACTTGAGTGTAGGAGCTTTTATTTATTTAGAGACAGAGTCTTACTATGTTACCCTTGGTAGAGTGCTATAGTGTCACAGCTCACAGCAACTCCAGCTCTTGGGCTTAGGCAATTCTCTAGCCTCAGCCTCCCAAGTAGCTGGGACTACAGGCACCTGCCACAATGCCCGGCTATTTTTTTGTTGCAGTTTGGCTGGGCCACATTCGAACCCACCACCCTCGGGATCTGTGTCCATGCCCTACTCACTGAATCACAGGCGCTGCCCTGGTATAGGAGCTTTCAGTGTGTTCTGTGAGTCCTTTTCTCAAATTAGCTGAACTAAGGTTAGTCTTGGGAAATTCTAGAACTTGAAATTGGTGTCAGAAGAAGGTAACATGACAGATATTATCCCTCTAACTTCACACCCATATTTTCAAACCGTATTCGTTTAACCCTTCCATGGTAGATTTCCTTTTCTGACAAGTTTCTATCAACTTGCATCTAAGAGGGTTTTAATCAATACACTCACGTACCAGGGTAAATACCTCATGTTCCATAAGCTAGAAACTTAGAATAACCGCTGGTATTGCACCACTTTAGAAAAATGTGCTATTTCCTCCGTTGCAACCCTCCATTTTCTGGATAAACAGCCCAAAGGGTAAAGAAAACAGCAAAGCACTTTATAAATGATAATTTTTTTAAGTGTTCTGGCTAACAGCCTCCAACCAACATCACATTATCTCTAATTCAAATACAAATTAGATTAGTGACATATCTAGGATTAGTGACTAGAACTGTATGCGAGTTTGTTCCAGAACATTTAACCAGTAAATCCTTACCGGAATTTGGGTTTAATTCACCACTAGAAGTACTGACTGAAGTTTGGGGGGACGGTGGTTTTATCACTGTTGTCTGATCCTGGGAGTCCTTATCTTCATGTGACGGATGAGACGTAGCAGAGCCAGGTCCCACGCCTGGGTGGCTTGTGTCCCCTGATTTGTGGCACTCCATTTGGTTGGTCATCCTCTCTGTAGTAATAAGGAAAAATGTAAAAACATGTCGCCATTGTTTTCAACTGTCTTTTTTTATTATTATTAAATCATAGCTATGACATTAATGCAATTATGGGGCACCATGTGCTGGTTTTATATACAATTTGAAATTCTTTCATCAAACTGGTTAACATAGCCTTCACAGCATTATCTTAGTTATTGTGTTAAGACATTTATCTTCTTTTTTTTTTTTTTTTTTTTTGAGACAGAGCCTCAAGCTGTCCCCCTGGGTAGAGTGCCGTGGCATTACAGCTCACAGCAACCTCCAACTCCTGGGCTCAAGCGAGTCTCTTGCCTCCGCCTCCCAAGTAGCTGGGACCACAGGCGCCCACCACAACGCCCGGCTATTTTTTGGTTGCAGCCATCATTGTTGTTTGGCGGGTCCGGGCTGGGGATTCGAACCCGCCACCTTAGGTGTACGTGGCTGACGCCTTAGCCGGTTGAGCTATAGGCGCCGAGCCAAGACATTTATCTTCTACACGTAGTAGATGTAACAAGGACCCTTGTAAAGCGTACCATAGGTGTGGGCCCCCCAATTACCCTCTCTCCACCCATCCTCCCTTCCCCCTCCCCCCTCCTCTTTCCCCTTCATGTTGGGCTGTAACAAAATTGATGAACCCTTGGCTGGCCTAACCAGAAATAGAAAATTAAAATCCCTAATTAGATCAATCAGAAATGACAAAGGTGAAATAACAACAGACACCTCAGAAATTCAAAAAATTCTTAATGAATACTACAAAAAACTCAACTGCCTTTTAGTATGATATACAGAGTAGTACTGGAGAAAATAGTGTATTCCTAGGCAGGGACATGCAGAATGAGAGGTCATGGGAGGTGTCACCCTAGTCGTTGACTGTAAGGGAATGCATTGTCTATAGAGGATTTTAAAACAATAATAAAATCTACAAAAACACTGTTTTCTCTTGATACCATATGTTGCCAAGTTCTACTGCTCATGCCTTGGAAATGCATCCTTCCTAGGATTAAGTCTGTTGGGTTTTTTAAATTAACTCCTTAGCCCTGTTTCAAATCTGTTAGAGTCTAATAGGAATTATTCCGTCAACTTGTTCCGTCAACTTTCTTGTGGCCTCTCACATCTTCAGTAATGACTTTGCAGCACAGAAATGTGCTCTTCCTCCTCATATGTGGCTCAGTTTTTTTTTTTTTTTTTTTGCTTCTACTGTCATCCTGCTTCTAACCCTCCTTAAATTCTGAGTGATTTGATCGGTTGGTTTCATATATTGACATTGTAAACTGCTCTTTATGTCACCTAGGTAGGAATACATTTTTTTCTTCATCTTTCTGCTTCTCCCAAATTAAAAATGAAAACGTTTTGTGAAAATGAAGACCAAACAGAGGTGGTCATTCACCACGGCATTTTCAAGGGGTCACAGTCCTTAGATACCGTTTGAATGGGATAGATCCATTTCTCCCACTTCCGTTGAACAAACGTGCGGTTTAGTGACTTTCTTTCTTGTTCTTCTCAATTTATTCGTCCTGTTGGCTTCGGTCTCATTATTTTCATCTTTTGTAGTATCCTGTAATAATTGGACAAAAAAGGCAAATAACAGATTATGCAAACAACGAAACTTGGACATCAAAAAGGCATAAAAGGCAAAAAGTCAACTCCATAGCTAGATTTTAAAATGAACATAAAAGACTTTGACAATAGGTAAATTTTGTCACTTCTGCAGTTCCTTAGATAACTCAAAAGGAAGAAGCCCAACGTTATTTTCAGACAGACTGTATTTTCTCTCTCTCTTTTCATACAGGGTAGAGAAAAATATCATTTAAAAAATTAAGACTTTAGCTCCCTAGTCAAGATTTCTATCTTTATTTTTTTACTTTGGGAAATTTTCATCATTTATTTCGAAATTGTTTTACAAAAACAATTTCAGATACAAAGTTTACTTATTATGCCATCTATGTTTTTTAGGACCCCTCTAACCTTTTCTTTTCTTTTCTTTTTTTTTTTTTTTTGGCCAGGGCTAGGTTTGAACCTGCCACCCCTAATATATGGGGCCAGCACCCTACTCCTTGAGCCACAAGCACTGCCCTTTCCAACCTTTTTGTTAAAAGGCTTAAGATTGAATTCTCCTCTCTTTTTCCTTCTCTACATTCTTATTACATCAACATTTATTTTGCTTCAAAATAGCAATCACACTTATAAAATGCTATTTTGTGATTGCGTTTCATATGCATTAAACAAATGTCACATTCAAGCTATTTTATAGCTTTGGAAAGTCCAGAATACATTCAAGAGAAAACAATCTAACTTGTGCAATCTAGTTATAATCCTTGACAGGATATTCCCAGCAGGGAGTTGGGTGTGAGACAGGGGCTTGGAGTGGGGACCTTGGGTTTCTTGGCGCTAACAGTGGACAAAATGACCCCAGCAGTCTTGGGTCACAAAATCTGTCGCTGAAAAAAACATATTTTTAAATGTTAAAAAAACTGACATTGGTATTGTTAAGACTCTTTTTTGCAAACTTCTTCCCTGTGGCTTGAAGGGAAAAGAAAGTGACAAGGTCAGGGTCAAAAAGTATGTTCTAACTGTTTTGAGTTTCAAGTCTTTTTGCAGAGCAGTCTCTGAGAGGCTCCGTATCTGGAGGCAAGTTATATAATACGTGTTCAGAGTGGGTGCTGGGGAACAACTGGACTGATTTCTCCATAGAAATCAGTTTAGCCTCTGAAGGCTACAAAAGGGGGAAAAGGATTTTCACTTTTTGTTTATATATATTTATGATGCATTATTATTATTGTTACTATGTTAACAAGGATGTTTATAAAGCAAAATATTTTCTATGATCTAAAAATTTCACTTATTAGAAAACTGTGGCCTCCTTCATTCCAGATATTTGGATTATGTGGTACTTGTTCTGTGACATAGTGATTTATTTTTACCTAGTAGTTTAGGATTTTGTTTAAATAGTTGCATAAATTTTCCTAATATACTTCTGATAGAATCTGGCTATAACATAAAGCCTTACTACGTATACTCACTATTTCTAAAATTACTTTTCCAGAAATATCATATATATGTGTGTGTATATATATATATTTTTTGGGGGGGGGGTCAATTGTTCTCATATAGAGCTATCTCCAGCCTTTTAGAGAAGTCTTGTTGAAAAAACGAACTGCTTGGCCAGGTATATAAATATCAAATAAATCTAAGCAGACTAACATTTGTCTTAGCTTGACCCCTAGGGGTCCCTTGGCACATAAATTGAAGGAATCAGAAGAGATAAAGTTTGAAATCCCTTTCGGCTTCAGGTGATAAAATCTCCACTTTACAAATGAGAAAAGTTAGACGCAGAATAACTTGCCCAAGGCCATAATATGAAAAAAAGAAGCAGTTTACAAAAAAAGGTCTTCTGATTTCCAAAATGCCAGAGACCCAAGCCCAGAGAAAATTCATATTAAAAAACATTCAGGTTCCTGCCGTCGTGCAGTTGGGTGGGGTAGGGAGTAGGGACAGTAGTGTGGGGTGGTGGGAGGAGGAGGAGGAGGAAGCGGCGAATCTCTCATAAATGGCGCAAAGCAGGACGCGAAGCCTAAATTCCAGGAGGGTGAGCGAGTACTGCGCTTTCATGGGCCTCTTTTTTATGAAAGTGTGTAAAGGTTGCCATAAAGGACAAACAAGTAAAATACTTTATACATTAGTGGTTGGCATAAAAATTGGGATGAATGGGTTCCGGAGAGCAGAGTACTCAAGCATGTGGACACCAGTCTGCAGAAACAGCAGAACTTCTAGAAGCCAATCGGGAGCAGTGCGCAGAGGGCAAGATGAGAGGGGCGGTCCCAGGGAGGGAGACATCTGGTCTGCAACAGAAAAATGTTGAAAACAAAGGACAAGCAGAAAACACCTGGAAACGGAGATGGTGGCGGTACCAGTGAGACAACTCAGCCTCTACGGAAGAAAAGGGCCCGGGTAGATCCTACTGATGAAAATGAAGAAACATTCATGATCAGAGTTGGAGTTAAAGGAGAGATTCCTGAAGAGCTAAAACCTGGGCTTGTTGATGACTGGGACTTAATTACCAGGCAAAACCAGCTCTTTTATGTTCCTGCTAAGGAAAAGGTGAATTCCTTTCTGGAGGATTATGCAAATTACAAGAAATCCCATGGAAACACAGATAATAAGGAGTATGCTGTTACTGGAGTTGGGGCTGGGATAAAAGAATACTTCAGTGTAATGCTGGGCACTCAGCTCCTGTACAAATTTGAGAGATCGCAGTTTGCTGGAATTCTTGCAGATCACCCTGATGCACCCATGTCCCACTGAACACGGCATCTACTGAGATTATTTGTACAAATTGGAGCCATGTTGGCCTATACACTTTTGGATGAGAACAGCCTTGCTTTATTACTGGACTGTCTTCATGATTTCCTAAAGTATCTGGCAGAGAATTCTGCAACCTTGTTTAGTGCCAGCGATTTCGAAGTGGCTCCTCCTAAGTGCCATCGGAAAGCTGTGTGAGAGACGGTCTCACTCATCTATGTTTGGATCTCTCTAAACACATTTTTGTTCTTAGTCTTTCTCTTGTACAAACGAGGTACTTTGAAGATGTTAGTGTTTAACAGAATTGATGCTGGTTTTCTGTTTGATTTTAAACAGAAAAAATGAAAAGGGTTATAGCTCCTTTTTTCTTTTCTTTTTTTCATTTCAAAGTTGCTACCAGCGTATTCAGCCATGGACAACAGAAAGACATGCTGTAGAATGTTTTATCACCTCGTTGACAAAGCTGCTCTTCAAGGCTGGTGGTTCTTTTCCTTTGACACTACACACTCTTATAATATGTGTTAATGCTGTGTGACAAAATGCTCTGATTCCCACTGCCAAAGGTTCAATTCAGTGTATATAACTGAACACATATCCGTTTGTGCTCCGTTTTTTTTTTTTTAATGGTTCTTAAAGTAAAGAGCTTATCCTTTGCAAGTCACCCATGTTGTTCCTTAGGCATTTTATCTTTGCCCAAATTGTTGAAGAATGGTGGCTTGTTTCATGGTTTTTGTACTTGTGTCTAATGCACGTTTTAACACGATAGACGCAATGCATTGTGTGGCTAGTCTTCTGGAAAAGGGATCTTTTAGGAATTGTTTTGCAGATCTTCAATAAATGTTTTCTTTAAATTTCAAAACAAAACAAAACCAAAAAAATTCAGCTGGCCTCATATAAACCAGATCAAAGGAAAAGTTTTTAAAGACAACATCAAAAGACAATTTACCTAGTTACTAACCTAAGACTTTCACCAATAAGAACCCTAAACCTATGTTGTAGTACATGCTTCTTACTCCATAAAAATGTTTAAAAATAAAAAGCAAGGGGAGGGGGGAGGGAGGTTAAATGAAAAATATACATTCAGTCCTTTAATTTGCTTTTCCATCTAGAGTGATCAGCGATAATAGCTAAAATAAACTCTCCGGATCTCTGGTTTATCCCTCCTCCAGCAGTATTTTTATTCTTTGTAGTCATGCAATTGCATTTATGTGCACTGCATGAATGATATTTCAGTTAACAGAACCTATCAGCCAAGATGCCTGAGGTTTGGATCTAATTTTGACTTTCCACAGTAGCAAGTCTTCATGGAACCTTGGTACTCTCATCTGTAAACACTAATATAAATATAATCATACGGTTAAGTTTAGCCTAACACTTCATCCTTATATATTTTAAGTTTGGCCTAAAGATATTTCATCAGACTATAACCTACTCTTGCATTTATCACAGACTTTGGCCAGTCACAGGTAGCCAAGTGTTCTAACATGTTCTAATAAGGCAAATGCTACACTCTAATCAATCCAGCTATTTCTTTACCTCACTTCTAGTTTCCATACACCATTTTCCTTTTCCTGTCTATATATGTTATCTGGCCATGTAGCAGCTACAGAGTTTTGAACCCATTGTGGTTTTGAGGGCTGCCCAATTTATGAATCCTTCTTTGATCCATTAAATTCTGTTTAATTTGTCTAAAGTGTTTCTTTTAAAATAAACTAACAGGTATATTTACATTTTAAAAACATTTTAATAACCAGGCAATATTATATATCTCATTTAATACTCATAATAATGTTTAGGGAACATTTATTATTAATATTACTTATGTTTTTGTCAAAGAAGAAATAGGCTCAGGTTAGGTAATTTTTTCAAAGTCACATACCTAGTAAGGAAAAATGGTAACTCGGATTCAACTCTTTTATTTGAGGTGCTTTGCACATTGTCATAACCCAACAGCTGACTCAAGAGGAATAACTAATAATAACTTGTTCAGAAGCTTGGGAGCAAGATGGCTGACTAGAGGTACCAGGCAGTCATCATCCACACCAGAAAGGAACAAGGCAACAAGTAAACAGTTAAGATTCAACTGGAGGATCAGAGGAAAACATTGGAGTTTAGCAGGGAGAATGCACCTATGGAGATTAGACGTCCAGGAGGGCACTGAGGAAATACCTGGACTCTGCAGCCCCATTTCCCTTTCCCAGATCAGATCAGCCTAGAGCCAGAAGGGACTTCCAGTTCCCACCAGCCCCCACTGCCAGTGCAAACACCTACAGTCCTTACTACTGAAGAATCCCAGAGTCTCCCAGTTTGGAGAGC